CACTGCGCTGGCACCCAGTGATTCTGGGGCTTCCCCACCTCCTGCACCCGCCTGGGCTGACACGCTGCCGATTCCAGCGCTGAGCAGAATTGTCTCTGTAGGTGTCACTTCCTGATGCTGATTGACGGGTGGTTTTTCTGGTTATTTAATATCAATCCTTTAAAAAAAACCAACCTCCTGTGGAAGCTTGAGGAGGCTCGTGGGGGTTTGTGCGTGTTGGCGAGGGCTGGAGCAACCCAGCTGCTCTGCTCTGGCCGTGTTGGGTTCCCTCACCAAAGCTCCTGGTGCCAGTGCCCTGTGCCCAGGCTTGTGCCATGCAGGGGTAGCAGAGTGAGGTGAGGATGCAGCAGGGGGTTTGGGGGTTTTTGTGGTTATACCACGTCCTCTCCAGCACCCGCAGCCCCCCAAGGCTCTGCCTACATCGTTGTGTTTAATAGCGATGCTGGTTGCAGGGGTTGTAGTAGCAGCAGGTACTGCTTAGAGGAGCGAAGATTTGTCCAGCTCCACAGGTCCCTCCTGGTGATCACCATGCTTGTGATGGACCCATGATTTTCCTAAAGCTCCTTTGGAAAATTATTTCTTTCATTGCTGTTTCTGCACCATGGGGTTCGTGGTTGGGATGCTCGTTTCCTCTCCTCCCTCCTCTTCAGCATCTCAGCATTTCCCTCCCCACTCCTCCTCCACCTGCAATCTGTTGCGTTTTGCTTTCTCCTTGTGCCCGGTGACCCTGAGAGCCCAGCCAAGGATAAACATCCCATTTGTGTCACAGCAAAGATTTATACCTGACGTCTGTGACACGAGCCAGGTGAGCGCCAAGACCTTTTCCATCACATCCCTGGGTTGTGATTTATCACGGTGAAGTGATCTCGGCACCCTGGCGCGTGCGGCTGGGATTTATCTGCTGGGACGGCCACTGCTCTGGGGGGATGGAAGTGAGAGGCAACAGCAGCTGTCACCCTTGTCTCACTAATAAATGGGACATGATCAGCAGAGAGAAAATATGGTCCCACTGAGCCCGGGACTGTGGAGCTGCAATGGCATTAGGGGTTCAACGGGTGCTGAGGACCAGCTGATGGATGCTTCTGGCTTTGTTTTCCCCTGGGACTCTCACCTCGCTGTGTCCTTGGAGGTGTCCTTTGTCCTTTCCCAACCACCGTGTGCAGGTTTGATGGTGCAGAGCCCTCCTGTTGCCCCGCAGATGCCGGGTGGCTCATTGTCCCCAGTGGTCTGGGAGCGATGCTGCAACAGCCGTGCCCATCCTCGTCCTCCTCCTGCTCACCCTGGGCTGGGCACCCCCTGCTCTCGGGGCTGGACAGGCAGTCGGGGTGTGAACCTCACTGCTGCCTTCATCCCTCTCTCCTCAGGCAGCGACGTGACAGCAGCTGCCCGGGGAAGCCACGCGATGCCCGGCCGCAAGCCAGGCGAGGGCAGGCCGGGTCCGTGCGGCAGCGAGCACAGCGGAGGGGACACTGACAGCCACGATGCTGCTGCTGAGAGCGGGGTCAGCAGGAGCCCTGGTGAGACCTGCATCCTTCTGCATGCTTCAGTACACCTCTGTGTGCTCCCACACACTTCTGCATGCTTCTGCATGCTTCTGCATGCTGCTTCTGCATGCTTCTACACACTTCTGCATGCTACACACTTCTGTGCACTTCTGTGTGCTCCTACACACTTCTGCATGCTTCTGCTTGCTTCTGTGTATGTCTGCGTGCTTCTGCACGCTTCTGCTTGCTTGTGTGTTCTTCTGAGGGGTTTCACACCGACGTCTGCTTCCCACTCCACTCGCCTGCTGTTTTACGCTGCTCCGTGGGGTTTGCTGATGGGGTCTGGGGTGTTGGTGGGATTGGGGCATCTTGGAAGGACACATATTTGATAAGCCCCACGTATGATGTGAGAGCTGCAGGTGGAAAGGAGCGGGCTCAGCGCTTACCAGCTCATTAGATGCAGAGAAGAAATGCAATGGAGTTGGGAGCTGAAGTAAAGACATTTGTCATGCCGCTGTGCCCCCACCTTGCTGGGCACGTGCCCCAGGAGATGCTGCTGAAGGAGCAGGCACGGGCCAGCCCTGCCTGGGGGAGCCTGTGCTTTGCTGGCGGGGGCGCCGGTGTTTCATGACATTCTGATGTGCTCCCGGCCATTGCAAGCGGCTCCGATGCTGTTGAGTGGCTGACAGCATTGGGCAGCATCTGCCAGGGTGGGATCCTCCCCAGGTGCCTCCAGAGGGGAAAGGCACTTGCAGAGGTCACTTCTCATCTGAGAGCTGAGCTCCCAGATTTAATTGGTAAAACTACAAATGGCTGGAAAATGTCCAAGTCCTCTTTCATTCCCTGGGGAAGAAAGGAATGTTCAGTGGCAGGATAGTTGGGTGGGAGCTGGACCTCTCTCCTCTCAGCTGCTTCTGGCT